ACCAATCACAGCACTCACAGTATTTCTCAATGGATGCAAGAATGCAGCCAGAGAGAAGGAGAAATGATTGATTTTCCAGCCTTTATGAGTGTAAAAGCAATCAGTGTAAAAAAAAAAAAAATCTTCATCACCCCCCACAAGTAGAACTGTGTCACCATGGTGACCCTACTGCTAGGGTGACAGTATGTAAATATATATATATTCAAATTCAAATTGCTAACTCTGACCTACAAAGACATTCACAACGCCGACCCAAACTACCTCACCGACCTGATACCCAAATACCACCCAACCCGTGCCCTCCGCTCCTCACAGGACCTCCTACTCTCTAGTTCCCTGGTCTCCTCCTCCCACGCCCGACTGCAGGACTTTTCCAGGACTTCCCCCATCCTCTGGAACTCACTAACCCTATCCATCAGACTGTCATTTACCCTCCTCACCTTCAGGCGCACCCTGAAAACCCATCTCTTCAGGGAAGCCTACCCCTCCCTCACCTAACAGTCGATCTCCTCCACTCTTCCCACCACTCCATCCCCCACAGCCATCTCCTCCTGTACCACTCTCTCCCCTCCCTCCTAGATTGTAAGCTCGAAAGAGCAGGGCCCTCGAACCCCTCGTGTATTGTATTGTTACTGTCTTGTCTCATGTACTGTCCCCCTTGCTACTGTACAGCGCTGAGCAAACCCTTTGGTGCTATATAAATACTGTATAATAATAATATATAAATAATAATATACAAAATTTAAATAAAAATTTCAATAAAAATTTAAAAGAAAATGAAAAATTATAATGTTTGGTTATAAACTAATTTGGGTTATTTTTTTTTTTACTAAAAAGATAACTGAATACATTTCAATTTTTGGACTTTTTCATTTATATAGCAAAAACAAATAAATAAAAATCCCAGCAGTGAATAAATACCACCCAAATAAAGTTTTATTGGTCTAAAAAAAATGGTAAAAAATTCATATGGGTGCAGTGTTGCATGACCGCGCAGTTGTCATTCAAAGTGTGATAGCGCTGAAAGCTGAAAATTGGCCTGGGCAGGAAGGGGGGGAAAGTGTCCGGACTGGAAGGGGGAGAAAGTGTCCGGACTGGAAGGGGGTGAAAGTGTCCGGACTGGAAGGGGGGAAAGTGTCCGGACTGGAAGGGGGGGAAAGTGTCCGGACTGGAAGGGGGGGGGAAGTGTCCGGACTGGAAGGGGGTGAAAGTGTCCGGACTGGAAGGGGGGAAAAGTGTCCGGACTGGAAGGGGGGAAAAGTGTCCGGACTGGAAGGGGGGGAATGTGTCCGGACTGGAAGGGGGGGAAAGTGTCCGGACCAGAGGCGGACTGACCATTTGGAAACTCAGGCACTGCCCGAGGGCCCGGGGTCAGTAGGGGGCCCCATGAGATGCCCTTGGTACCTTTTTCATAGGCTTTTTGGGGTTTGGCCAAGGACACAGGGGCCCCATGATCCACTATTGCCCGGGGCCCCATGAGTTGTCAGTCCGCCCCTGGAACTAGATCCATAGGAAACCATGTTAAATGGACTGTAGTGCGTTTCTGCGAACTGGAAAAATAAAGTTTTATAAAAAAATTTATGAAAAAAACACCCAAAAAAAAAAAAAAAGACTAGCCCCCGCGTTAAAGTACGTTCTTGTTCACACTAAACACAAACACATGCATACAAATATGGCGATTGCACCACGCGAATTAAGTATCGCTGCGCACGTTCCGTAATGTAATGGCGTAGCGGGAACCGGCGTTCCCATTCGCAATTTTTAAAGCGCGATTTACACGGAGAAACGCGTGTCAGGCATTCGCTTCAATCGGTTCGTCGACTAAAAGAAGCTCCTGCTCCTCTTTTGGGGCGACAGGCTTAGCGCAATTTCTAATCGCGCGTTCTACAATACGATTCTGTCGAGCGAAAATCACAACGGAACCGCGCAGTCTTTGGCACGCCGTTAAAGAATAACGGCACCCGAATGAGCGTTTGCGCATTCTGATGTGATCCGGAACGGCGGGCGGAATGGCGGCAATTTTGCCCACGATTTCAACCCGCCTTATGTGACCGTGGCCTGAACTGAGCTGTAAAGGATTCTGAAAGATCGTTTGTGGACAGTCTCGAGCAGATGGCTCTTTAATTGGCAAGCGCACTTTTGGAGCTTGGCATGTTTGGTATCGATTTACTCGACCTAACCTCATTTTCTATAGTTTAATATACCTATCAGGGCGGCAGGGCAGCACAAAAATCACGTATATATATATGTGATTTCACATTTCCGGGTAGGAGGCGCGTGCCCGCCTACCCGCGCCGCCGTTCGTGGCCTCGACTGTCAAACACCAGGTCCCGGATGGGGATTCCGAGCCGGCACCTGGCGAACGTCGAGTATCACTGACGGGGGAGAGGTCTGTATGTAAAAAATACAGATCTCTCCCCTGTCAGCACCAGTGTGCTGCTTTGTATGGCTCTGCATAGCACAGCCAAACAAAGCAGTGTGCTTACAGTGTAAAACACAGCACATAATGTGAAACACACCCAGCACACAGTTAACCCTTTGATCGCCCCCCAGATGTTAACCCCTTCCTGCCCAGTGCCATTAGTACAGTGTCAGAGCTTTTTATTAGCACTGATCACTGTATTGGTGTCACTGGGGATGTCAGTGACACCAAGTCAGAGCCCCCCCCAGTGTCAGAATGCCCGCCGCAGTCCCGCTATAAGTCGCTGATCGCCGTCATTACTAGTAAAAAAAATCTATTTTTTAAAATCCCAGTATATATACTGCAGTTGTAGACGCTATAACTTTCACGTAAACCAATCAATTTACAGTTTTTATGATTTTTTTTTTACCATAGTCACAGAGCAGAATACATTTTGGCCTAAAATTATGAAGAAATTTGAGTTTCGGATTTTTTTTACTGGACATGTTTAATAGTAAAAAAAATAAAAATATTGGTTTTTGTTTGTTTTTTTTTCAAAATTGTTGGTCTTTTTTTGTTTATAGCGCAAAAAATTTAAAAAATGATCAAATACCATTGAAAGAAAGCTCTATTCGTGGGAAAAAAGTCCAAAATATTGTTTTTTTTTTCAAAATTGTCGGTCTTTTTTTTTTTAGCGCAAAAAATAAAAAACCGCAGAGGCAATCAAATACCACTGAAAGAAAGTTCCGTTCGCGGGGGAAAAAAGGACGTAAATTTCATTTGGGTGCAGCGTTGCATGACCGCACAATTGTCAGTTAAAGTAATGCAGCGCCGTATCGCAAAAAAATGGCCTGGTCAGGAAATCCTCTGGAGGGCAAGTGGCTAAATAGGCTCTACCTGACCCAAGATGGCTGCTCGAGTCACATGGGGGGGGGCAGCAGCCAACCGGATCGCTTCCCCAGTGACTCAGGAAACCATAGAGGAACCATGTTCTTCTTGACTTCCTCTCCAACTGCAGTGCCGCTGAGGAATAGCGCCACCTACAGGGGAGAAAGTAGACTGCACCTGCCTACACATCGCTGGGCGGCAGATGTTTCTGTGCTTACTGCACACTCCCAGATAGCTCTTGGTCCCGTTAATGATAGCCCATGGGACTGGCTTCCATGCATGTGACCTCTGTGGCAGCCAATCATAGTGGCCAAGTGGTCTCCTGATCCTTCCCCCCCCCCCAGAACTCAGGGATGCCAAGGAGGTTGGGAAAGAGTTAACAGGCGGGCACAAGGCAGGGAAAAGGCTGAATGAATTGGGTCGCCACCAGGGGTGGACTGACCATTCGAGCACGAGGGCCCGGGGTCACTAGCGGGCCCCTGGTACCTTTTATAGGCTTTTTTTGGGTGTGCTTTGAGTTTGGGCAAGGACACAGGGGCCTCATGATCCCCTATTGCCCGGGGGCCCCATGAGTTGTCAGTCCGCCCCTGGTCACCACACCGGTAGGACCCTTTTTTGGGGTGGAAGGTCAGTAGATGAAGAGCCAGGTTGTCCAAATGCAAAGCCTGTGCTGCTGGTGGGAACTAAAGCAAGGACTCCGGCGCTGCAAGGAAAGCTTGTATCCTGGCCAGCCACTGCGCTGGCGGTTCCAATGCCGCGTCTTTCCATTTTCCTTCACTTTTTATTCTCATTGACATTACAAATTCGTACCGGCGAATGGCGCTGCGTTGACAAGCCGTCAAACCGCGGAAATATGTGACCGCAGGGAGGGGGGGGTCTATTCCTAGCTGCTACTACAGGTTCCTGACACGGCCGGGCTCGCGCTCCGCATTCCAGCATCCCCCCCCCCTCCGCATGTCAGAGCCGTCATGTTCCTGTCACTCGGACTCAAGTGTGCCCCTGAGCTCAGCGCCGCGACATGGAAAAAAAAAAAAAACTGCGTCGTCTGACATCACAGAGCGATGAGAGAATGGAATGTCTTTACGCGTGTTTGTCGTGACCCCCCCCCCCCCCCAATTCTGACACCCATTATCGGTCAGGCGCAGGCATTCCACAGGTGCGGCGCGCCACCTGAGACGCCAGGAGCGCCCCCTCCCCGGAGCGAGTCCAAAAACTGCTTTTGATAGAATTATTTTGTTTCCAAAAAAGTCGCCCTTTTTTTTCTATTGAAATAAAAAAACATGGATGCAAAACGAAAGGGGGCCCTTTATAGTCCTCGTTTTCTACAAATTTATAAAGGGTAAGTCCACCCAAAAATGTGAAAAAAAAAAAATTGGATAGAATGGGGAAGAGTTAGAACTTCTTCTGGGTTTTTACTACTATCCGGGGCTCGGAGAGAGATTTGCCCTCACTTCCTGTCCCGGTGACAACATTTTACTAGACAGGAATTGAGGAGAACTCTGCAACAGGGGCAGACTGACAACTCATGGGGCCCCCAGGCTATAGGGGATCATGGGGCCCCTGTGTCCTTGCCCAAACTCAAAAAAGCCTATGAAAATGGTACCAGGGGCATCTCATGGGGCCCACTACTGACCCCGGGCCCTCGGGCAGTGCCCGAGTTTCCAAATGGACAGTCCGCCCCTGGCTCTGCAACACAGACAGAAATACAAAGTGGTTGTTAACCCTTCTATACACCCAGTGAAGTGACTGGCCTCGGGTGATACACAGAGACAGGGGCGGACTGACCATTTGGAAACTCGGGCACTGCCTGAGGGCCCGGGGTCAGTAGGGGGCCCTATGAGATGCCCCTGGTACCTTTTTCATAGGCTTTTTTGAGTTTGGGCAAGGACACAGGGGCCCCATGATCCCCTATTGCCTGGGGGCCCCATGTGTTGTCAGTCTGCCCCTGCACAGAGATGAAATGAAGCCTCATACATAAGTTGTACCTGTTTATCTGCAGCCTTCGTTCCTCTACAGCCGTTCAAAGTGATGAATTTTAAAGCTTGTCTGAGCTATCAGAAAAAAAGGGGGTGGAGAACTGATGTTACACACTGCAGAGCTCAGTGAGGAGAGCTCTGAAAGCTGATTAGAGGAAAGAGACACCCCCTCCCCCTCCACACAGCACACAGGAACAGTGCTGAGGCTGTCGATCTGCTGGAGGTCCCTCCCCTGTCACCATTTTTCTCTTGGTGTCAGAAGAGACTCATGCAGATAGCAGAGGAAGGAGGCAGCAGGCAGAAATGACACTTAGTGCTCTGGATTGAGACAAGGACACGCTATAGAGGGATATGCTTTGTTCACATTTCATGCCTGAGGTTTACAACCACTTTTATGCAGGCCATAGACGGTTCGTTTACCGGCCGATTTTTCTTCTGAAAAAACGAAACATCGTTCATTCTGTAAACCGATGTTGCCACCGATGATTTTGAAAATTGGTTGTTGTTCACGAATTTTCCAGCATGACCGATAAAGGAAATGAGGAGGAACCACGAAAATCGGCCGATGCCGTTGCCCCACTAACAGTGCGAAAATCGGCCGAATATTCTCTCGGAAGAAAAATCGGTCGATAAATGAACCGTCTATGGCCTGCATAAGGATACATTCATATCTCACGATTTGGGATTGCGGGCAGAATCGCTGTCCGCAATCCTGAATCGCATGGCAATGAGCGTTTGGGTGGCATTATCCTTCATCGGCACCCCAAACACGATGCGATTGTCCTTCAGCAAACTGCGCCTTCACCAATCCTGTGAAGCTTGTCGGCCGAAAAGCAGCAGAAGCTTCATTTCGGGCAACAGTTGCGCATAGGACAGCCCATTCATGTAAATGGGCTGCTGTATGCGACACAAAGAATCGCAGGAAAATCATGATGTCAGAATCTCGTAGTGGGAAGGCTTGCTCCTGCCAAGCGGTGACGTGAACGGAACCTTAGTAGAGCGGGGGGAGGGGAACCCCTGTCAGAATTTTATTTCTGTCTCTAGATTTTCCTTCAGGCCCCGTTCACGTTAGGCGATTTGGAATCACGGGCAGAGTTGTCTCGATTCCGCCCTTGATTCCAAATCATCGTCGCCGTGAGCGGGAGGGGCAGCTGCCCCGGGCGCAATGATTTACTGTATGGATGGGGATGCCTTCCTTCTTTTTCAAGATTGACAAGAGCAGAGACAGAGGCATCACTACTCCTCTCAGCCCAGCTCTGGGAGCAACGAAGAGAAGAAGAGAGAGCTGGGAGGCGATGCAGGCTGTGTTCTCTCTCCCTCGCCTCCATCCTGCAGCAATCCTGTATTCAGAAGCCCTTTTGTCACTTTGGAATCTGTGCCCTGCGCACTAGATGACCTTGTCCCAGCACTGATCACGGCTACAACATACAGGAGCTCCCAGAAGTGAGTCCCCCCTCCCCCGGACTGTATACAATGTATATATATATAGTATCTCCCAGAAGTGAGTCCACCCCTCCCCCGGACTGTATACAATGTATATATATATAGTATCTCCCAGAAGTGAGTCCCCCCCTCCCCTGGACTGTATACAATGTATATATATATATATATAGCATCTCCCAGAAGTGAGTCCCCCCTCCCCCGGACTGTATACAATGTATATATATACAGTATCTCCCAGAAGTGAGTCCCCCCCCACCCCCGGACTGTATACAATGTATATATATATATAGTATCTCACAGAAGTGAGTCCCCCCTCCCCCGGACTGTATACAATGTATATATATATATAGTATCTCACAGAAGTGAGTCCCCCCTCCCCCGGACTGTATACAATGTATATATATATATATATAGTATCTCCCAGAAGTGAGTCCCCCTCCCCTGGACTGTATACAATGTATATATATATACAGTTGTGACCAAAATTATTCAACCCCCAATGCTGTAAAGGGGTTTAGGGACTATAGTGTACATTTGGAATTGTATTCAGAATCAAATCCTACAAGGACGTTGTAACTACCCAAATGCAACTAAAATGACATCAATTGTTTATGTAATACAGTAGTAAATGGTTCTTATGTGGTTTCTTCATTGCCACAATTATTCAACCCCTTAAAGACTACCACTCTGAAGAACAGAGGTTCATACAGGTGCTTTCCATCAGGTATTGAAAACACCTGTGGATGTCACCGAGCAGCAATCAAGCATAATAAGCACCAATTAGGCAGCTTTAAAATGACTGTGATACTCAGCTCCTTCTAGACATTTACTGGTGTGGTTACAAACATGGTGAAGGCAAGAGAATGGTCCAGGAAGACAAGAGAAGAGGTGATTTCTCTTCACAGGAAGGGCAATGGCTATAAGAAGATTGCAAAGATGTTAAACATACCAAGAGACACCTTAGGAAGCATCATTCGCAAATTCAAGGCAAAGGGCACTGTTGAAACGCTACCTGGTCGTGGCAGAAAGAAGATGCTGACTTCGACTGCTGTGCGCTACCTGAAGCGTAGAGTGGAGAGAAGTCCCCGTGTGACTGCTGAGGAACTGAGAAAAGATTTGTCAGATGTGGGTACAGAAGTTTCAGCCCAGACAATAAGACGCACACTGCGTAATGAAGGCCTCCGTGCCAGAACTCCCAGGCGTACCCCCTTGCTGTCTCCAAAGAATAAGAAGAGTCGACTGCAGTATGCCAAAAGCCATGTGGACAAACCACAAAAGTTGTGGGATAGTGTTCTGTGGACTGATGAAACAAAATTAGAACTGTTTGGGCCCATGGATCAACGCTATGTTTGGAGGAGGAAGAACAAGGCCTATGATGAAAAGAACACCTTGCCTACTGTGAAGCATGGTGGAGGGTCAATCATGCTTTGGGGCTGTTTTGCTTCTGCAGGTACAGGGAAGCTTCAGCGTGTGCAAGGTACCATGAATTCTCTTCAGTACCAGGAGATATTGGATGGAAACGTGATGCAGTCCGTCACACACCTGAGGCTTGGGAGACGTTGGACCTTTCAACAGGACAATGATCCCAAGCATACCTCCAAGTCCACTAGAGCATGGTTGCAGAGGAAAGGCTGGAACATTTTGGAGTGGCCATCGCAGTCACCAGACTTAAATCCGATTGAGAACCTCTGGTGGGACTTAAAGAAAGCAGTTGCAGTGCGCAAGCCTAAGAATGTGACTGAACTGGAGGCCTTTGCCCATGAAGAATGGGCGAAGATACCCGTAGATCGCTGCAAGACACTTGTGTCAAGCTATGCTTCACGTTTAAAAGCTGTTATAACTGTAAAAGGATGCTGTACTAAGTACTAAGATTGAATGTCACTTGGGGGTTGAATAAAACTGATAATGCTGTGAGCACAGAAAAGACATTTGTGGTTATTTCATTATAACTGTTATGTTATATTTGTCTGACCTACAAGTGCCTCTTTAATGTAAATGTAAGCAAGATGACTGAATGATCAAAAGCAATGTCAAACTGGCCAAAACACTCAATTTCAGTGGGGGTTGAATAATTTTGGTCACAACTGTATATAGCATCTCCCAGAAGTGAGTCCCCCCTCCCCTGGACTGTATACAATGTATATATATATATATAGTATCTCACAGAAGTGAGTCCCCCCTCCCCCGGACTGTATACAATGTATATATATATATATAGTATCTCCCAGAAGTGAGTCCCCCCCTCCCCCGGACTGTATACAATGTATATATATATATAGTATCTCCCAGAAGTGAGTCCCCCCCTCCCCCGGACTGTATACAATGTATATATATATATATAGTATCTCCCAGAAGTGAGTCCACCCCTCCCCCGGACTGTATACAATGTATATATATACACAGTATCTCCCAGAAGTGAATCCACTCCTCACATTTTTGTAAATATTTGATTCTCTCTTTTCATGTGACAACACTGAAGAAATGACACTTTGCTACAATGTGACGTAGTCAGTGTACAGCTTGTATAACATGGAAATTTGCTGTCCCCTCAAAATAACTCAACACACCGCCATTAATGTCTACACTGCTGTCAACAAAAGTGAGTCCACCCCTAAGTGACAAGGTCCAAATTGGGCCCAGAGTGTCAATATTTTGTGTGGCCGCCATTATTTTCCAGCACTGCCTTAACCCTCTTGGGCATGGAGGTCACCAGAGCTTCACAGGTTGCCACTGGTGTCCTCTTCCCCTCCTCCATGATGTCATCACAGAGCTGGTGGATGTTAGGGACCTTGCGCTCCTCCACCTTCCGTTTGAGGATGCCCCACAGATGCTCAATAGGGTTTAGGTCTGGAGACATGCTTGGCCAGTCCATCACCTTCACCCTCAGCTTCTTTATCAAGGCAGTGGTGGTCTTCTTGAGGTGTGTTTGTATATAGATACATGTATACAGTCTGGGGGAGGGGGGGACTCAATTCTGGGAAATACTGTATATAAACCCCAGTCCATCTGCCTTTGCAGCTTAAGTGGGGCAGTAAAAACGTAGCTCAATTCCCCACCCCATGGTGTAAATGAACCCTAAAGTATAGATCTTTAAATCCTGAAGTCCAATTAAAACTATATATCCATCTAAGGCCGGCCATAGATGAGCCAAAAAAACAAACGTTCTGTCGATCAAAACACAAAAACGATTGTGCCATCATTTATTTATTTTCCAAAAAAAAAAAAAAAAGCAGCATGTTGGATCAGGCACTTTTGATTGCGGCACAAATATCGCATGTCGCAGCCGGCACACTAATTATGTGAAAAACGAACAATTCTGCAATCCACACGAATTTCCTTCGGTTTTCGACTGATTTATAGCCGGCCTAAAACACCATTCACACCCTCCCACGCAGGTTTTTCTTTTTTTTTTTTTTTCAGTGACAAACACCCCATAATGGCTCCAGAACCTTTTCGGTCACGGAGCATCGGGCGGTTATCGGTACACATTTTGGTG